CCGGGCGTCCGACTGTCTCTATATATAGACCGGTAATTTTGTGTGTCTGTTTGTATGCCGGTTTGTGCGTCCTTCCTCACGTAGGCACAACGAAGAGTGCGAATGTCAAGTGAGTGTGGTGGGGAAACAGTTATCAAATGGGAAGTGAACCGATACTGTTCATATTGGTCCTCTAACAAGTCGTAGGTAAGCGGTAGTGGGCATGTGGTGCGCGCATTAGCGTGCGTAGCCCAACTGGTACCTATATAATGACCTATCAGTGCTGAATGGCATTCCCTTACTCTGATACTAAAAAGGAACTTGTCCGGGTTTATGGCGGTTATGTATGACCAAGGGGAGCCTGAAGTCACCCCCTTTCAAAGCATTTTCAGTTGAAAAGCTAAAGTAACCATAAATCATTTGCCTCACGGTGCATTATCTTAAGGTAGGCTACAAGGTTCTATGCTCTCATAATAACCATTTCACCAAATTTTGGATACACGCACATGGACAAACGACAACGCTAGATGCGATCAAGCAAGTTTTCACCCATACTTTGTTTATCTCTTGGGTAGTTATCAGCAATACATTATCCGTATCCAGGCTCCGCTTAATTTGTTTCTGATATCATTAAAGCCATAGGTAGTTCTAGATCTAGCTCTTAGATGAAATCCAACTCTTTATTGGAGACTTGGCTTTTTTCTAATCGCATTCGCATTAAGGCAGTTCATGTGAAAAGCATGAAAAGGACTTTCAAAAACTGAACAGGAGATAGCCATGAAGCTTGCTCAAGTTCCTCACTATCTATTCAAAGAACTGAACGGTTTTTTTTTTGCAGGATCAAGCGGAAAAAAGCTTCCGACGCCTCACTAAAAGTCAATCCATAGGTCTAAAATACATCGGAATCGTTCTCAATGTCGTTGAAGAGATTTTGGTTGGTTATGCTTCCTCAAAAGTGTTTTGTAGAGTATCTACTCTGAAATCGTTAAACTACTTCCTCCGTTCAGGATTCTTCTGGAAATGTCAGCGAATTGTTGGTCAGGGCGGCCTCATTGACCGATGCGAACAAACCGAAGGCGTTCGTGCATTGGGTATCACGTCCGATATCTGCTGAAGTGCGGCTATATGAACGATTGTGAGTTAGTTTCTTGCCCAGCTCATATTGGGACTGTAAGATCGTGAAGCGGGTTTCTTCGGCATGTAACGCAATGGATGGTGGTGGTATTTTTTGCCGATTGCTGGCGGCAAGCAGCAGTGCTTTCGCGGCGATTGCTAACCTTACACTAGAAACCCAAATCTTTCACTCCATAGCGCGCGTTCGGAGGTGGCGAATGCAATTCAGGACTCAAAACTACCTTATGTCGAAACAGGTAATTGCAGCTGGTCATTTGAGAGGGTGAGACGAAACTTGCGTCAAAAGCGTTGCTTATCATTTCCTTCTACTGAAGGGAAAATAGCTGAAAAAAGCAGAAAGCAACTTCGGGAAAGTTGCAGCTAGTATGTGTTCGAATTTCAAAGCCCCACCTAATAAGTAGATGAGTTGGAGATCTTGTTATTGAGGTGTCGGAAGGTTCTGGAAAATTATTGGCTGTAAGAGTATGTTGATCCCAAACGCGCTGAAGAAGTACTATAAATTTGGTAGCAGGGGAAGAGCGTTGTTGATAATAAATACTACAGCTGATCGGTATTTGACGTGGTCGTTTCAAGTAAGTAATCGTCGCTCGAACGATGTGCCATCAACAAGACTATCGGAGCCTTCTGCTTCACCATTACGAAACTGATCGCTTTGACACTCAGGTTTGGAATGCAATATGGTGACTGTTTAGCAGCAGTATACCCTCGAAGTTCGTCGAAGCGAACGTCCGCTGTCCTCAAACACTGGCGCTGTTCTGGCCTCTCGTCGGAGCTATCCTCCTCATAGTGTCGGAAAATGGAAAACTGATCTCACTTTTCGATCCATCATCCACGACGTTCTACGCAGAAGTCACTTTCAGGACGGTCAAAGCAGGACTCTTTGCAAGTAACGCACACCTCTTGACTGAGCAAGAGCTCGAGTACTAGTCAGTGTCTGACAGAAACTTCTCGACTGTAAGCGAACGACGACATTAGCCGACTTCATTATTGCTCTGGATAAAGGTAGATGTCATAAGAAAATCCACACAGAAAACCGCAATGCGTACCAGTGGACATAAGGCCACAGCTCGTTACAAAGTGAGGCGCTCACGTCAAGAAGAGCATGAGCTCATTCTTCCCCTGTTGAACGGAAGAGCTACAGGTGGTCAGATGAGTTTAGAACGGATCAGATTTGTTAGGAGTAGAGGCTGTAGACGGAAATACTAACCGCAGGTGACGTGTGAACCTCACCCACGTGGTGGATGCGGTGAAGAGCGAAAATTACTCCTTTAGAGCTAGAGCGGTCATTTGTGGAAGGGATACAGGTATCAGTTTGGGAACACTAATGACGGTGGCAGAAGTAGACTCTGAGAACGGAGCGTGCGCAAAAATTGCTCCCTGGAAGCTAGAGTGTTGAATTTTGAAGGGATACAGGCGACAGTTTGGTAACATATTGGCATGCGACAGGTGTAGAGTGCCCCCATTGGGACGGGGCATGCGTTGACATAGTTAATTCGGGCCTGGGTCGTTCAACTTCGGTAGGGCTGCAGACCAGGAAGGAGGTTGGGAAGACCAATGACAAGGGGCAGGTTTAGGAAAGGGAATGCAAAATTGACAATCTTATTCAAGGACCTTCTGGATTATTTACCGTTAACTCACAGCTTTCCACACTTCCGAGCCTTCTCGTGTGGTAGGATGTATACTGTGGGAATGTTGTCGGATCCATCGATTTGTATCGACCTGTTGTCTAACTGTCTGATAAATCGCAACTTGGTCCCTTCAGTGACGCAGTATTCCAACTCTAAGAAAGTTGGAGAGGTGTGATGGGAATGCAAGCGGTAGGAGCTTCCTGCACAGAGGAGTCTACTGGATTGAGGTCTGGCGAAGAAGAAGGCCAAATGTTCTTGCCTTAGTGCTCAGAGATTTGCACAGCGACTACGGCTTCCGTCAATTTTGAGGCAAGCGAAGAGGCCCAATCTCCTTGAAGGGTGACGGATCGGTCATCAAAGGGCTCACTGAACAAAATTAACGGAGTGTTTAATAAAAGTTCTTTTGGTGAACCTCAGAGTCGATTTTCACATTTTTGTCGATGAAATCCAGTACTATTCTTCATTCTGATGTCAACCGGGCCTAAACGATCACACTTTCGGCACACAGTCGGTTGTGCTCACGTCGAAGTTTTGGGGACACGTCGTCAACTTCTGGCAATAATTGTCTCTGGTATTGACGGTTTAAAAATATTCTACCGTGAGCTTTTCTCGTCAGATCACGTCAGAGATACGGCCCGCCTGATACTCTCGAACAAGTCTTTTGCATTTCATCAGCCAATTTTGTTTGGACTGCTCCTACACAAGTTGCCCTCGACAGAGTCGACAACTGTTCGGCGTTAAGCATTATTCCACTATCTTCTGAAAGTTTGAAGGGAGATATGGAGGTGTTAAGCAATTCGATTCGTGCGGACTCCATCGTTGCGGGTGATTCGCTTCTTGGTTATGTCACGAATTATTAGTGGTTTCACTGCTTTTTATCGTCCACTTTTTGGTATCTCGGAGGTATGTCCTTGAGTCCTGAGAGCAGCATAAACATTTCGAGCGGTTGAAGAGGTAACGACAAGTCGCTTCGCGATGTTACAACTCCTCAAACTTCCTCTGAGCAACTTCTCGATGATGGGTTGGAGCGCAGGAACGTTTGTAGCGATGGTTCAAAAGGACGGTCAATCAAATGATTAATATGCATTCTTGCACATCTCCTGTGTGTTCGAAAAGTCCCCAAAAGTTCTGAAAATACATATTGGCAAAAGTGCCAGCGAGCGCCAAATGCAACGTCTTATACTTTTAAGCCGCCCTGTACTATACGCGGCGCTGTCAGATCGGAAATTTTGGATAGCATCTTGTAAGGACTCAAACTGAATCGGCTGCATACCCACCGAAGACGGACGAGTCTCACGACGTTGTGGAGGCTGTCGCGCGCCTTGAAGAAAAGGTTTGAATTCCCAGCGCAAGGAATCCAGTAGTTAAGCCGTCGCATGACCTCTGTCGCTTGCCGTGGGAATCCGGGGAGAAGTTCCGGCACCCCACCATCAAGGGAATCCACGTTGAAAGTACAAATAAGAGGTCGTGACCCAAGGGGACAGCGGAGGGCAATTTTTGATATTTTGGCTTGATGGAGTCAACTCTTTACGCAATTACAACTTCCGAATACTCCGTTTATGCCCTTCAGAGGGTGCGGTATCTTGGCCCCGAACATCGCTCCACGCTCGCCTCGTGTTGCAGAAACACGATAGAGGATTGTGACGCGCAATCTGTTAGTTAGGGAGTCCTTTAAATATTGCCTTTTTTGACCGCTTCGTTTCCCTTACGCTAATGTAGGTTAGGACGATTCCTCAAGTGAATCAATTGGATCTAACTAACTATTTCGAAACTAATAGGCATAAATACTAAAAGAAACAAAAAAAAAACCAAAAACAAAAAAAAAGAAAGGCAGTCAAAAAAATTATGGTATCACTTGCGGGGAGGCGGGCTGAGTACGGTATTTGTGTTTGAAGCCCTGGGCGAAAAAAGAAAGGTGGGCCGCAAAGCGAAGGTGGGAAATCGGAGAGAACTTACGTCACCCACATTCCGCTCATGGTAATCTCGTAGTACACATATTTTCACGATCTCTAGAAAACCCTGCTTTTAGCTAAGTGGCGGATTTCATGCTTTCTTCCCCACCGATGCACTATTTTCCACAGTTAATTCCTTTTCTACTATCGTGGGCTGTGCCTTAATGTACCTGTTGTACATATTGATTCACCGGAAAACCAGCGTAACAGCAGTTCGAAAACAGATAGTTTACAAAATTAGTGGCCAGTGTTAGTGTTTTGGGCTGAGCACGCTCGATGAGTGTTTTTTTAGGTTCAAGAGCAAGAATCCGGAGGATCCAAATGAAGTACCCAATGGTTTCCTTTCGGATGTGAATAAAGTACGTGCTCTTTAAGATTATACTTCTCGATGTCACTGAATGAGGAATTATGAATACGAGTATAAATGTTTAATTGGGAAAAGTCAAAATAAGAGTTGTAAGTGAGATACTTCCGCAAAAGGGGATGGTAATTTGATCGCGAAAGTTTGTAAGCGTGATGAGTGGAAATCATGATATCTTTGCAGTTTGGTAAAGCTTTCCAGAAGGGATCCCAATCTGTTGTGGGGAATGAAAGTCGAAGCGCCTGGGATTTCCATTTCGCCCACACAGAGTTTTCCGTTGGACCTGTAATAGTATAAGAAAAGGTGAAAGCTACTTGGCCTGTTCGATATAGTGCCTTAGCATACTGTAGGGAATCAAACACGTACGAAGTTACACATTTATCTCTGTGTGTCTCAGTACCAATCTAACCCTTATGTTTGCAGTTTCTAAGTCAAGCTATGTATCCTATATTTCTGAGCAGGATGAATATTGTCATTTTGTCGTCGTTTTAGTTTCAAAATCCGACAAAGTTTCTTGCTGCTCAGATGTCTTCACATAATCAAAATTTGTAATATGCCCTGGTTCGCTTGGGACAGGCGATTGGCTGCTTTCATAGTCCGCCGGCCGGCCGGC